TATATATATATAATAAATTCTCACTGCTCAGAATTTTTTGAAAACCAAAAGGTTTTACTCAATCCCCCAACAGAAATATATATTTTTTCAGCTAATTTATAATTTTTCGAACGACATTTTTTAATGAATCATATTGATCATTAACACAACAAAAGTAAATTTCATCATCATGATAGTCTGCATTAGTTTGACGATAACAACAATTTATTCATACCCGTCATTTTGACTTCTAAATTTAAAAAAAGTGGAATCCCTTGTCCGTCAAAGAATTTGAGTACCACACCCTACACTCGAGGTAAATCGAACCACTAACCAGAGAGGACTTACAACTGACAAGTAGAAGCCCGATCAACTGATCTGAATATGCGGTGCATATATATATATATATGATGGGAGGCTATTATACGAGCGCTGACCATCTCCTAAGAATTCGAGTACCACACCCTACACTTGGGAGAAATCGAACCCTAAACTAGAGTGCACTTACAACTGTTAATTATATATATATATATCCTTTTTAAAACATAATAAAAAGATTTTATCAATTGTTAATTTAATCGAAATTAAATTGGATCAAAAATCAAATTTAAATTTCCCATTTTGGGTTCATGCATTAATCCTTAAAAACGACACATATCATAGTATCATACCCTGTTTGCTTGAAATCAGTTCCCACCGCCGACTGAAAGTATCCCTCCACCGCACCAGGCTCCTCCCCCTTAAAACCATGAACAAACGTAAAGGTCTCCTTCCATGGCAACTTCATGGAAAAACGTTCCGAATGACCCACAGCATACCCTTCCACTCCCCCCTTCCTCTCAAACGGCAAATCAAACAGTCCATTTATGCATCTCATGGCCGCCCCATAGACCTCAGCATCAACTCCATGCTTTATCACCTGAAAGCACCCGTAGTTCCGGCACGCCGCTCCGACGAGCTCCACCGCCTGTCTTGCGGCGGGGTCGCCGCGGAAGAACCGGGAAAGATCAATGATGGGGAGTTCGAGGTGGCCGACGGATGCGATACGGTCGTCGGCCGGCCAAGTGAAGGCGAGGGGTATTTTGAGCTGCTGGAGGAGGATGGAAGGGTTGTAGAGATTGATTATGGGTGTGGTATCGTTGGGGTCATTGGGGAATGTGGTGGCGTTGCAGGACTCCATTGATTATGAGGATGGTGGTATTCTGAGAGATGGGAGAATGTGAGGGGGGGTTTCTTCTTATAGTTGTTGTGGGGGGATTTTGGCTTCTGACTTTCGATGGGAATGTTGGAGGTGAAATGAATGTTACGTGTTATTTTTTCAAATTTATTATGCTGATTTTGTTGTAAATATCTTAATAGTGTTGGTGCTTTGTGAATAGTGCTTTGTGAATATGTAAATGCGTTTGTATATGATTTTTTTCATGTATTTTATAACAATATTTTCTTTTTTAAAATTTATTTTTAAATCAAAAGGAACAATTACATATCAAAGCATATATCTATGCTCTATGCTATATATATATATATATATATATATATATATCTGGATCATGCCCAAAGCATAAAACATAGGGACCGAGGGAGAGTAAAAGAGCGAGAGGGAGAGAGACAAAAAGAGTGACACAGTGATTGTCCCCAGAGAGGTAAAGTGACGGTGTTTCTCTGGTTCTTAGCCTAATCTTATATATTGAAAGAAGTAGTTACAAAAGAATGTAAGAGTAATGCTCAAATGACTGGAAAGACCAAATGACCTTATCACCTTTACAGGAAAAAGATCATCACAAAAAGATCATCACATTTACTAGTTAGTTGTTGTCCATTTACTGGTTATTGTTGTCCTTGGGAATTATCGACTGCTATTGTTCCTGGTAGTTACCGATTATTATTAGCTTCATTGTAGCATTTTCGTATGTTTGACACATTTTCGTTGTTGGGTCCATTTGGAGATGTGATTAGCCAGACGGCTGGGGTAGCGAGCCAAATGAGGTGGTTGGCTGGTCTCTACGACCGTTAGCATTTTTCGGGCATACATAAATGCCCCAAAGTCTCTTATTTCTTGGAAGTGAAGCTACGATAAAAATGAGAGACTTTTAATGTAAAAAAAATGTTAATGCAATAATAATACTCCATTGATTTCAGTGTCTTTTAGCACCATCTTTTCTCCTGCTCTGAAGTGCTCTTTTAAGGCTTTCTTGGGTAGAATTTTTTTTTTTTTTTGCATTGTTGGTTGGTTGCCTGACCTTCATCTGGTTTAGGTGACATTTGGTCGGTCGTATTGGCTTAATCTATCACTCAGTTAATGGTGTTATTTTTTTTTTTTTTGTTTTTAATAAAAACAAATAAAAATGTTTTATAACCTTCGTGAATATGTAAGTAGAGTAAGAGTTTCCTTGTTTTTCACCTTCGTTTTAGAATTTTACCTCTATCGGGCTTATTTGCTTATGACAGTTGCCCAGTGATGAAAGCTAGTATTAGTTGATTTGCTTGCTCCAGAGGGGTCTTTCATTTTCTCTTCTTGGAGGGGAGTCTTTCATTTGCTCACCCCTGAGGGGAGTCATTAATTCTACTCGCTCCGGAGGGGAGTATTTCATTTGCTCTCCTAGGAGAAGAGTCTTAGATTTACTCGGTCAATTTGAATTTCCTGAGCGATGGCTTAGATGCAAACACCTGAACTTTTCAAATTCCTCGAGTCTCTATCGGATCTAGGAAAACATAATTAGAAGAATTTATATATTGAGAATTAAAAAAAAAGATAAAATATCACTGTTGGCTATTTCGATCACCTAGAATTTTCTGTCTCTTGGATATTTCACGTATTCCAGTTGTCTTGATTTATAATGACTATTTGCAGGCATACAACCTGTTGAAGGCATGTGATTAGTCAAAAGCAGATGCTTGGTCAAGGGTGACTAGATGAGTGGTCGGTCCGAGGGCGGTTTGCTGGAAAACGAATTGAGAGGTATTTATGTGTGTGTGTGTGTATGTGTGTGTGTGTGTGTGTGTGTGTGTGTGTGTGTGTGTGTGTGTGTGTGTGTGTGTGTGTGTGTGTGTGTGTGTGTGTGTGTGAGAGTGGTAAACATGTAAATCTTCCTTGATCTTAAGATGGCCAGCCAGAGGCATTCAGTTGGTCGAAGGCAGGTGAACGTCCAGAAGCAAGTGGTTGGCTGGAGCATCGATAGGTCGAAGGGTGGCTAGCTTGAAACACAAATAAAATGAGTAGTGAATATATAAGAATAAAGTGGCACACACGTAAATATTCCCTGTGTTTAAGATGGTCCACCAAAGGCATACAACCAACTGGAGGCAGGTGATCGGCCAGAAGCATGTGGTAGGCCGGAGGTAGCCAGAGCATCAGTTGGCCGGAGGGTTGCTTGTTGGAAGCATAAACGAATTGATTAGTGAATATATAATAACGGAGTAGTACATATGTAAATCTTTCTTGATTTGAAGGAGTTTGGTCAGAGGCATACAGTCGGCCAAAGATAGGTGATCGACAAGTATGTGGTCGGTCTGAGGCATCGGGAACATCATTCAACCGGAGGTTGGCTACCTGGAAGAACAAATGAATTAAGTGGTAAATATATAAGAATAAAGTGGTATGTATGAATTCTCTATTGGTTGGAAGGGTACATCCGGTCAGAGGTAGGTGATTAGTATGAAGTAGGTGGTCGGCCAGAGGTGGTCGGAGTATCGGTTAACCCGTGGGTGGCTTGCTGGAAGCACAACCAAATTGAGTAGTAAATATATAAGAATAGAGTGCTATATACATGGCTTTCCTGATTTTAAGATGGTCGGCGAGACACATATAGTCAGTCACAGATGATCGATCGAAAGCATGCAAAGGGGTGGCTTACTCTTTTGCAATCTTATTTCCTTCAAATGACTGTCTATGTGTTCTACTATAAAACACTACAATGTTGTACTGCAAGCTAAGAAAATTTAAATATGACATTGTCAAGTCTTTTCCATCCTCCACGACAGACACATAGGATTAAACAGCAGACAATTGTATAGACCTGCATTTCCATCCCCGTCTTCACATCCGCCATAGACAATAGAAAATTCCTATCAAAATATTGTAACAAAGCGTATCATCCGCCGAGGACGGCAACCCATTAGTACAAAGCAAAAGATACAAATCAATGATCATGAAAAAAATCATGCATGTTGCATGGATCTCAAAAGCGATTAGCGAGAAGTAATCAATTACGACTTCCATCAGCTATTGATCGACATCGTTTGAGTCAACAACTGCTTGGGCAACGTAATTGTAAGCATCTTGTCAACGCTTGACATGGGAGGAGCAAGTGGTGGTGAAACATATGCGCTTGTCGGAGGTGGCAGGTTTATCGGGAGTGACGAGTTGGACGAGCCTTCTCATGTAAGAAAGCATGTACTCGTAATGTCTGATGGAGGTGGTGAGTCTAGCCAGGAGAAGTTGTTGTCGGGTTTTAGGAGGATTGTTATCGCTTTGGCAACCTTCATGTCCTGGGAGAAAAATCACAGGCTTGGTCTCTATTGAATTTATGGGGAAAAGTTGAAGAGATTTCTACAAATTTATGCGGATAGAGGTAGTTTCTTAGAGATTTCCGCCGTTGAGGAATAAATGGAGTGAATCCACTATTGTGCAAGTTCCCCTTGCTCTTTACTTGGAGTTCCTCTCTGAATAGTTTCTCCTCGGTGTTGTTTGTCTTCTTGTTGACGACATGATTCACACTCAGCACATCAATGTTGAATCCAAATTTCTCTTGTAGATCATGCCCAAGACATAAAACGTAGGGACCGAGGGAGAGGAAAAGAGCAAGAGAGAAATAGAAGAGTGACATAGTAATTGCCCACAACGAGACGAAGCAGGGGTGTTCCCAACCTCTCTCACCCATTTTATATATTGAATGAAGTTGTTACAAGAGACGGTAACAGTGATGCCTAATGGCTGAAAAACCCAAATGACCTCCTATCATTTACATGAAAAAGATCATCCTATTTATATATCATAGCGGTATCAAGAAACCTAAAAAATTGCCCCTAAGACTTACAAGTTATTATGTCCCTCGGAGTTACAATTTATTACGCCCTTAGGGGTTACAAATTATTATTGCCTTTTGGAGTTATCAGTTATTATTGTCTTCATTGGTACATTTTCGTATGTCTGACAAATTTTTTATGTTTGGAACCTTTTCATTGATAGATTCATCCCGCAATGTGGCGAACCAGTCCGCTGGGGAGGCTGACCAAATGGGGTGGTCGGTCGGTCTCTGCAACTGTTGGCATTTTTCAAACATGCACACACACTGTGTGTGTGTGTGAGCGCGCTTCATCAATCATAGCCTATTGGTAGAGCAGTCTCTTTGAAGGTCGTAATTCTCTTCAGTTCACGGGTTCGAATCCCCCTCTGGCCAGTTTGTTGGTAGTGAGGATGATCCTCCAATAGTTAGGCATATGAGGATGGTTGGAGGCTCGTATAATAGCTTCCAACCATATATATATATATATATA